TTTATTGCCAGTTTTGATACCTCTATCACATACACTGTGTAGATAATCTCAGGTAGTTTTTATTGCCAGTTTTGATACCTCTATCACATACACTGTGGAGGTAATTGTTTTAATTGCCAGTTGCTCAATGAAATAAAACACTGCACCTTTGGAGTGTCGAAACATTGTTAATCTTATGGCTACACATTTTGCAGGGCATTTAGAAGCACCACCTTCATGATGACTTGTATTTGAGATGCACAATATCTGAGAGTTGTTTTACTTCATAGATAATTATTTTCTGTTTTATATACTATGCCATTTGTAAATATGTAGTATGTAAAGGAAACTTTCAACTTCAAATGCACAAAACACTGGGAAAACTTCGACCAACAACTGACAGACCTTTCATTAACAAGTGAAGTGTCAACTGTGTCCAGCCAAATAAGCTTCATGAGCAATATGGTGTATCCTGGTCGAATACCAAAATAAATTTCTGCAGTTTTACTTGGAAAGTCAAGTACAGCACAGTAAATTTTATCCCACAGAACACTCACCCATTAATTGAATTCAAAATCATATTGTCCAACAACAAATTGCTTGCATATTGGCCAGTGTTCACAAAACATAACCATAATTTTTGAATCAGAATAATCATACACCCAGCCCAACTTTCAATATTGCTTGCCAGTGTTTCTTTGCTGTGATTAGTGTTAGATTCATTGTTGTACGTAGTCTTATGAGTTGTTGTACTGGTTATTTTAGAATTCTAACCAAATTTTTCTCTGACAGTAAAATCATACATAATTGAAGTCCATACAAGTGATGATGATGATGATGCCAGTACTGGTGCTAATGTATTCCTGACTCTGTTCGGTAGTCATGGAGACACAGGGAAGCGCCAACTTATTAAAGTGAAACCTGAGAGAAAATCTGATTCTGATGAAAATCAAGAAGAAAAGAAATTGTTTCAGAAAGGACAGGTAATTTAGCAGTAATTTTTGTCAGTAGTCTTATCATTAATTAGTCTCCGTCCGTCCGTGAGTCTGTGCGTCCATCCGGAGTCATATCCCAGAATCCCTTGGACCGATTTCGTTCATTCTTTGCATGTGCCTAGTACTTTATGTGGGACATGTGCATGTGCAGTGGTTTAGCGATTCGATTCAAAATGGCCGACTGGCAGCCATCTTGTTTTTTTGAAAATGTTGTATTTTGGACATGCTTTGTCAGTTTTCATTCAAACTTGGTACATAGATTATACATGTTAGGATACATGTCCATGATGATTTATTTCACAATTGGATCAAAGATGGCCGACTGGAAGCCATCTTGTTTTTTTCACAATTGGATCAAAGATGGCCGACTGGCAGCCATCTTGTTTTTTGAAAATGTTGTGTTTTGGACATGCTTTGTCAGTTTTCATTCAAATTTAGTACATAGATCATAGATGTTAGGATACATGTCCCCGACCGTCCGTGAGTTCCTGAGGAAGTCCGTCCGACCGTCCGTGTGTCCCTCTGTCCGTGCGTCAGTCTATCCAATGTCATATTTCAGAATCTTGTGGACAGATTCTGTTCATTCTTTGCATGTGCCTAGTACCTTATGCGGGACATGTGCACATGCAGTGATTTAGCGATTCGATTCAAAA